CATTACTAATATTCAAGTAGTACTGATTTTAAAAAGTTCTTATATCTTGCTGAGAATTTCATTGTAAGTCAGTACACTTAAAATGAGACAAAACTAAGAAACCAGACAGACGTTATTGGTAAGATTTTGTGTTTTTGCAGACCAACCAAATCTTTTCAGTCGTTTTTTTTTAATCTTTAATCTAAGCTATAAACTCCAAAGTAAATTGAAAACTTAAATATTTTATAAAGTACAAATAAAACTAAAATAATCTGGTTTGATTATATTATGAGGCTCAATCATTTTGGAAAGGAGTGGCCAGATCTGTCAGATTGTGAGCTTGTCCTGAGCACAGGCCTCTTTAGATCACCCCACACATTTTTAATTGGATTCAGGTCTGGACTCTGGCTGGGCGAATCCAGAACTTTAATCTTGTTTAGGTGGAGCTAGTGTATGCTCTGGCTCATTGTTGTGATAAAACTGGTGGTTAACTAGTATTTGAAACCAGAAACAGAGTTTTAAACTCAAGCTATGACGCTACCGTCACTAAGCTCCACTTTCCATTTTTTGCAGCCGAACATCTTCTGGATTCACATCAGTTGAAATGTTCACAATTATATTTGGGACTCTCAACTTGAGTTTCACGGTCTAACACTCTTTATATTTCTAATGTTCCCCTGGACAATTCCAGTTTGATTTTAAATCACCTGAACAGGTTTAATGTCACACTAAAGGTGGAAAATGTTTTTGGAAATTCTAGGATTTTAACAAGCCAGTTGTTTTATGTCCACATGAACTAAACCTGCACGGTCACCGCCATTGATCTCTTCATGCTACATCCAAGGCAATCATTCTTGCTTATGTAGGTAATGGTGAAACTGCAGCTGGGAGCACAGATGGAAATGAATGTCTGAGTACTTTTCACTAGAATTAATCAGAAAATCATTGCAGCTCTAATGTAAATAAATTACTGTTGCATTAGAGACGACTTATATGTGTACACCTTGTTTTACACTCGCTCTTTTAGATTTTCTGTGTATTAAAAGCAATTCTGCACAGTCCGTTGAACTTGACACTGATATGCTGATGATTAAGAGGTTCAGTTTCTCAACATGGTGGAACATTAACACTGACTCCTACTCAAAACCAGTTACAGGAGTAAGCTCATTTATAATGGAGCTAATGCTTTATCAATATTAATAAATTATTGACTTATAAAAAGAGCTTATATTTAGCTAAAAAATTACTTTCAAGTTAGTTTTGTCTTATTTTAAGTGTACTAAGATATTTGCACCAGAAACGAGACTAAAATTACTTGGTACGATTTTGAATTTTTGCAGCATATGAGTTGATGCGTTAATGGAGATACTCCAGTAACTCCATATTTTTCTTTTGGCTCCAGAGCTACTAAATATTAAGAAATCCATCCATTAAAGAAAGAGGGCAAACAGGAACTTGCAGGAGAGACATCATAGAAAATTGTATTGACCAAAAAACATCTAAAGTCAAAACTCCAAATTTTAAAAAATAAGGATTTTAAGCCTTTACCAAGCAGTATGTAAAAAAAAATGACAGAATGGTGTAAATATGTCAATGCATAACAAATATTAAAATGAAAACAGCCCAGAATTAAAATAATAATAAAAAAAGTTAACATTTCAGACGATGTCAAAGCTCAGAGAGAAGTATTTAAGTATTTAAGAAGAGAAGAGGCCTGTCTGATGGCTAAGGGAACGTCATCCTGTAATTTACGAGCAAAAGCGCGGTCTCCTCTGAGGTCACGCTTGCTGATCAGGAGCTGCTGACCTGAGGGAGTGCAGGGATGCAGCAGCTCGGACAGTCAGGGCGGGGCAGAGCCATTAAGCACTAAAAACAAATAACATTAATTGTCAAATTAATCCTAAAATACAAACAGAGACAGGAAGGGAAAAAATGTGGTCAGATTTAATGCGTCTGCTAAAAGACGTGCAGCAGCATTCTGTAACCTCTGAAGCCGAGAGATGTAGTGACCATTGATTCCTTTATAAAGTGCAATAGAGTCATTCAGCCGCAATTCACTACTTCAAGCCAAAACATTAAGCTTATATACAAAGTAGACTCACTATACACACAGAGAGGTGTCTATCAAATTATTCCTATTTATTTTAGCTAATAAAAACCCAAAGTTCAACTACCAGGGAAACTTTACAATATAACAGAAAAATAATAAAATGATTTATCTAGAGGACATTTAATGTTATGGCCTACGTAATCATGAGGAAGAGTGCTGACTCGACAGTTATTGTATTGACATAGAGAGAAAGCCACAAAAGATCAGTGCTAAAGCAGCTGTTGTCCATAAGAATCTCAGAGGAAAGTTTGGTGGAAGGAAAATGTGTGGTAGAAAAAAGTGTAGAACAATTAAATTTTACGACCAAATTGGGTTTCTCTGGTCGAACATTTAAATAGGACATTTACAGCTACGAATGTCCAATTATTTCAACTACATGTAACTTTACTTAAGCTTTTTAAAAGATGCATTTCTTCTAATCTTTAAGATTATTCAAAGTGTTGCATCATTTTCCACTGAGGACGACGTGCAAAATGGATGAGCGACTTGAATAAAAGGGGGAAAAAAAAATTAATCTGAAAACTTTCAGTTTAAAAATAACTTGCATAAGAATTGATCAAGCGCGGCTTCGTGCTCCGGCTGAATAAGTGCGGTGGCTCTGCATGCTACAGTGAACACATTTAGTTCTCCATCAGCCTGAACGCAGGAGACAACCACGAAACTTTGCAAACTCGGCATGTCACACTTTTAAAGAGAGCTATTGGCTTACATAACAGCCACCGCTGTTAAACTAATCGGAGATGGCGGCATCAGACGAGGCTTTTAGAAGCACATGAAGACAGTTCTGAGGAACTGCATGGATCCTAACCAGTGGGTTTGGATCATCTTAATTCTATAAAAAAATTATCATATAAAAGAAAATTAGAAATGGACAGCAATATTTCATCATTCTTCATAATCTACTCTGCCAGACTGAACTTGCTTTCAAGCTTGTTTTCAAGGCTTGATGGTCATCAGATGCATCTTTGGTTAAATTTTAACACTGAAAGTTCAACAGGGTGTCTTCTTTTGCATTGTGCGTCTCATTCGGTTCAGTTTATTGCGCCTCTGTTGTGAAATGATGTGTTTTATCTTCACTAAGAATCAGTCACACCTTTTTTTCTTTGGCTGCACAAGACTCAACATGTCCACATCAAGATGCCTTTGAGGTGTTTCCCTTACAGGGTTTCTGCAGGTTTCACCAACTCAAATTTAAGACTTTTTAGAACCAATATGAGTGGAAATTAAGTCCTGAATCATGACAGCAACTTTGTCCAACCAATTGGCAATGATGGATGTAAAAACGCTAGCTAGCCATATTAGCAGCTAATTACTGGTAACCTTAACCCACTCGAGTCACATAACGCAATGAAAGATATTAAACTTTTGCCTGACAGAAAAGTTCAGTGAGAAGAAAATATAATACTTATAATAATTAAAAACTGATCAAGGCAAAATTTAAGACTTGTGATTAACATATTAAAGGTCATCCTGCTTTTTTATGAATGTAAAAGATTTGGTGTTTTATTGCTCTTTCATTCTCTGAGCAATAAAACACTGATGTGGGAAACATCTAAATCAAACTCCACTGTTTATCATCCTGTGAGAATCTCACATTGGCCCACGCATACTTTGACTGCAAGTTTTAAATAGCAATTAGAAAAACATGGCTACATTGACACACAACAAAAAGAGCCTTCATCACACTACCAGTCAGCCAGTGACTCATGCAACCCCAGTTCTGAGTAATGGAATGGCATTCAGGATTTTTTTCCTGAACAGACCAATCTCTTTTATTTCACCCCAGCCTTTTTGGTCAAACCAATTACAACAACTCAGCTAATCAGCATCCCACATTCTATCAGTCGCCAGCCCCGCTTTGCATGCGTCTGGCTCCATTTCAACCTGCACAGCAGGGATTTCATTTAATCAGCTCGCCGCAACAGTTGGGAGGCAGCGTCTAAGCCTCGGGTGAGCATGAAGACCTGCGCAGCTCTACGTTACAGTAGAGCTTGCTCTTTTTGGATTACCGTCAGACGCATTACTGGAGACTAATGCAAGCTGCATCCATGCAGGCTGGTTGCTACACTGCTGCCAGCAGGAAACAACTGGATTACATAATTCAAGCGACTACTCCATTTGTACTGTTGCTCGACTGGTTGGGGGTCATAACAAGTCATCCTCCAGCACCTGCATGCCCTGACATGATCACCTGAAAGGTGTGGACTCCACCTTTCAGTTGTTCAACCACAAACAAAATAGTCCACGAATGCTAAGCTCGATCTTCTAACGTGTCCTCATTACTGTTACAGTAAACATGCTGATATATTTCAAACAAACAGCACCATATTGAATTGCAAAAAATAAAAAATACAACAAGAACTGGATTGTTAAAAATTCAGAATGCATTCGTGATAGTCATTGTGGCAGACAGAGAAACTGATCTCTAGGTTCTTTGATGAAATGTGAATTACTGAAACAAACTAGTCTAATAAATGGATACAATCTGACTGGACCTTTCTGGGCAGCTTTCTTCTGGCACCGCTTCACAAACTGCATGTTTAGACACGAGTTTAAAATCTAACAGAACAAACATTCATGTTAGTATTTTTGATGAATATTATTTTATTTTGTTCATGCCAAAAACAGATTTTATGGTCAACCAGATTTGTCAGGATGTGAACAAATCGGCTGCTTCCGATACCGTCCTCACTGATTGGTGCATCCGCAGCTTCCTCTCTAACCTACGGTTTAGCTTTTGTTTACTGGTTTGTTGTTAATTCTTAACCCTCTGTTCAAAACAATCGGGCTGAAGAGAGCGCGTGTTTTCACTCCCTCGCTTTGACTGCAACTTTGTCCACGAGTGGTTGTTTCTGCTGAATTTGACATGTTTTCACGTCGAAAGGCGGTGTGGGATGAAAACAAAACTTACATATCGGCTGATGAGAGTCCGAAGAGTACTGAAATCCATCCCCATCCTGCTCTTCTTTCCTCTGCCTACACTTCTTCTCTTTCTGTGTTTCTATTTCCCCACAGCCGCTGGCTTCCTCTTTATTTTTCTTCTTTTGTCCATGACTTTTTCTTCTTCTTCTTCTCAGGCGAGTCTTCTTGAAAGTGGAGAGGGTTTGGTCCCAAGAATGCGGCTCCCGACACGGGAGACCGGTTCTCACCTTCTCTCGCAAGAAGGAAGCGCACACTGGGCGTCTTCTGCGGCACTTTCAGCGCACTTCATCCAGAAAAAGTCAGCTTTGCCCCGCCTCAGGTTCTCTCCTGCGCTCTCCTCCACCTGAGCTGGTGTGTTGATAATCTTCTTGTCTCGCGCGGTGGCCGAAGCAGATTTGCTTCATGTACGTCACGAAAGGCCAGGTGGTGCCTCTGGTCGGAGGTGGGACGCATGCGCGCTCTAGTGACTTCGGTGTGGAACTGATTAGTTGTTTTAGTTATTTATTGGCTATCGATGAGTTGGGGGCGGCCGAACTGTCCACCCACAGGTACATCGCAATCAATCTGTTTATCGTTGAATATTAATTCTTTTTACAGAAGCCTTTTAGAAAACGAAAAGTAAAGTTTGACTGGAAAGTCAAATCAGCACTGATAGGTCAGCTGACCCATACCCCACATTACTGAATGTAATTTTAACTTTACGACTGGATTTGCATTATGATTTTCTCAAAACTGTAGTAATCCCTGTTGGACACTTTTTCTTTCCGCTTAGGTTCCCAGTAATATGCAAACTTCTCAATAAACATTGGTGGCTTGCTATGCAATTTTATAACAAACAAAATGTCGGTTATTTTAGATTAAAAGAAACAAATGCTTTAACTGTATTAGCCATATTTGTTGATCTGTATAATTACAAACAAGTTGAATTTAAATTGGAAGAATATAAATAAAATTCAGGATGATGAGAACTGTTCAGATTTAATTGGTCTTCTTTCAGTACTACATTTCTACTAATTGTGTGATATGCTATGTACAATTAATTTCCAAAAAGTAAAAGGATAAAATTATTTAATAAAAACATTCAGTTAGCAAATATAGTCCTACTTGCACCACTAACATGTTGCCTCTGATAGATGTCTCCGTGACTGTACTTTATTTTACTTGAGTTATTTACAATATATTTAAATATCCCTAGATGGAATACGCCTCAAAAATTGCAAATAATATATTTTGTAAAGTAAGTGTTTGAGATCAAATCGGAACCACAGCCGCGCTACTTTGTTTCAAGGGGGAAATATTTTCATTAAAATGTCCGTGATCTGTTTCCTAGAGACGCTTTCGGCGGGTTCGTCTAGAATCATTAGTGTCAAGTCAGATAAGATAACAACAACTACTTCTTGTTGTTGTCCTTCAAAATAAATTCTGCTAAGAAATTTGATTAAAAAGATTAAACAAAACATGCCAATATTTGGGGAAGTGTATGCGGTTTTGTTTTCAAACGTTTCAGTCATGTTCTCAATTGAAATATATCAGAAATTCTATGTATTTTTTAAATGCTAGAACTACTTTAAAAATGATTGCTGGTATTGTTTTGATTTAGCATTATATTTGTTAGCTTCTCTTTTATTTTTCAGTGTCTGTTGCTTTTATAATTGGTTATATTTTACTAAGTTTTTATTTAGTATTGAAATTGTTCTGCTTTTTATTTTTCTATAGTTTTTATTCTGTTTTTGGAACTGCAATTATAAATAATTTATTTTCATCTTTTGAGCTTATTTTTTTTTTAGTAATCATTGTTGAGCGTCAGTGCTGTTATTTTGAAACGAACTCGGTCACATACTTCCTGCGCCGTGCTAGCTTGACCCGCTTTGTCAAGATGGCGTTACTAAAACAGGGAGGCTGCAGTTATTTCACATCCTTCTAGCGGATTTATTATTTAGGGAAACGCCAGACACAACATCCACGGACGGGATGGCAAATCTGGACCAGAAATCACCAAATGTTCTGCTGCAGAGCTTGTGTTGCAGGATCACCGGGAAAAGCGAAGGTAGGTCAGTTAACGTTAGCTTGGCCGCCGTATTACCACACTGGATCTTTCAAGGAACCTCCAAGCCAAAGTTCCATTCAAAAACTCGCCACTTTGTTTCAATTAAATGTATTGCGTCTTAGCTGTACTCCATACATACAGCGAATATATCGGGTGATCGGACGGGGAAGGCTCGGGATTTCGGCGTAAACATTTTGGGTCAGATCGCTCGTTATTTATGAATAATTAAAGGGTTTCCACGTCGGTTTCGTGAGTTATAATGACGTAAAACGGTTGAAGTGGATTGGAACTGGACAGAAAATCAACCGAGATGTTCAGATATGTTCAGATATTTTTTACAAAATCAAAACCTCACCAACATGTTAAAATGAAGGCTCACGATTATTGAGACATTATGTGGGCAGGCGGCACGTAGCGGGCTCATGATTCTGCACGTCTCGCTCCTCGGATGTTCGTCTAATTTACTGCCCTGATCGCTTTGATTGACTGTCTCCTCGTTTATCCCAGCTTTTTGTTTATGTGTTAACATTTTAGCCTTCATGCCGAGCAGCTGGAGGTTTTGGCGGCTCCTGGATACACTTGCAGCCTGCTAGCTGCAGGCCCCTGCAGGATAGTCACGCCAAAGACTGTCATCGTGGACGGTGGCTTTTAAATAATTCAGTCCTCTGACTTTTTTTTTTTTTTTTTAAATACATTTTATCACGCCAAAATCACCAACTAAACACTTTGATTTAGGCAGCAAATCATTGTGAGGGTGTTAAAGTAAACACTGCTTTTCACAAATGCAAAAGGTTGAGGATAAAATGTAAAAAAGTGGATAAATGGAAGGAAGAAGCTGTTATCTCTTGCCTTTGACCTCCTCCTCTCCTTATAACTTTCAGCAAATGAATTAAATTTTTCCAATTTAGCAGAGTTAATGTTTAAACAAATCTTGGATTCGGACTGAAACCAGATCCAATTTGAAGTAAGACTAAACCATACCATAAAAAAATAGTTTTGCCCTCACAGATATCTTCTGCTTTTGCTTTTTTGTCAAGTCATGAATCTACTTGCATCGACCAAATTTATTCTGAGGCTACAGCCCTCGCTGCAGCTGTTCTGGTCCATTTCCCCTTCTCTCTCTGCCCTACTTCTCATCCAGCTACTAATGAATAAAGGCCTCTAGTGCAAACAAACCTTAAGAAAAAGAAGCACCTAAATGAGGGTTTGAAGTGTCCAAGTGTGGAGGAATAAATAAAAACATCAAAATATAAGGTAAAACTTTTTTGCATGACGTGCTGCCCTTTTGTTAACCGATCATGTGTTTCTGAAGCCGAAGTCGCCCACCAGTTCCAGTATGCCGTGCGAGTCATTGGCAGCAACTACGCCCCCACCATTGAACGAGACGAGTTCTTGGTGTCGGAGAAGATCAAGAAGGAATGTAAGTGCAGCTCGGACTATTTATGATAGCAGCTTCAAATCATTCTGTACTGCTGATCTTTGGCATTATCTGGAAGCAGAGCAGATAATAAATCCACATTATGTGGGCGTTCTCATTTTTACGCTGGAAAACATTTATTGCACCACAGCTGCTAATCCCAGTGGACTTGTATAGTAGTTGATGAAGCACAGTTAGCAGGAACACATTGATATGCTCTGACGATAAAACACAAAGTGTTTTATTGGATTGCATAGCTCAACACTTCAGAGACTGAGATGATGAGATGTCACTGATTTCTGATTTATTTTAAATCGGACGTTTAAATAAAGTGCAAGAACTCAAAGAAAGCGGCGGCAGAAACTTGCTTTAGCAGTGACAGGAGGTTTTTGTTGCCTTTGCAGTGCTGCGGCAGAGGAGAGAAGCAGAAGCTGCTCTGTTCTCAGAGCTGCACAGGAAGCTTCAGACGCAGGTTTGTGTTTTCTGTTAGCTTTAGCTAACCTCTGTAAACATTTCTATTAATCTATGTTTTGCTGCTCGTCAGGGTGTTCTGAAACATCGCTGGTCAGTTCTCTACCTGCTGCTCAGCCTCTCTGAAGACCCCCGCAAGCCTTCCAGCAGGGTAGGAGAAAGACCCACACGGCGTTATGATCCGACGCTGTTCATCAGCTGAAAGTGAATTTAAAGATGGCTGAAACTATCTTCCCTCAGGTTGGAAACTATGGGGCGCTTTTTGCCCAAGCCCTCCCCAGGGACGCGCACTCCACCCCGTTCTACTGCACCCGACCCCAGAGCTTAGCCCTGAGTTATGGCGAGAGGGGCGCTGGCCTGCCTGGAAGCGTTGGGACCAGTGGGATTTCAAGTCTAGGGGTCTACACGCTGAATGGACCCACACCGACACCACCGCCACTGCTGGCTGGGTGAGGGTTGATGTTCACGCTTCACCCGATATCTTTACACCTCACCTAAGAGGCTTCCAGTAGAAAGTTGTTAATCTGATGTTTCTGTAAAAGTCGAGATACAAGAAGAAGCAATTAGCTCTCACCTTTTAGCCGGAGATGTTATAACAAGTTTATGTGGCATCTGAAGGCCATTTCATCCCATTTGCTCTCATTAATGATGCAGGAGACCTTCAGTCAAAAATTAACCAATAAACACTCTGGGCTGACTTTTTAACTGGGAAGGAGCGACATCAAGGTTTCCAGTCTGAAATGTATGACTTCACCTTAATGGTGCAAAGTGCTGCAAATGGAAGGAGATTATTTAATGCTACGCAAGAAATTAGATACGAGAACTCTGTTAGATTTATGTCAGGGTTCCTTTATAATAATAAATTCAAAAATGAATTTAAAATAAACATTTTTGAACCAAAACTTTGCCACATTTGAGTATTTTTCCAATTTCTTCCTGGCAACCAACTCAATAAATAATCCAACAAAGCTTCAGATTATTTCCAGTACAAACCAAAACCTTTTTGTGTTTTCCAGTCAACCTTCCCAGTCTGCAGCTGCAGTTACTCACTCTCTAGGCTCACGGTTAGCCTGGGCGCTCCCTATAAGCTCCTCCCCTTCAGCCATCTTGGCTCCGCCCACAACCCGGGCACCCCTCGGGCCACTAGTGCCAACCATCAGACCGGCCCGACCTCGCAGAGATGGTGATGCAGCCGGTGAGTAATGTGAACGAACACAAAACTAATAAAGATCAAGATTTTTCTTTGAAATAAATAATTTTTTAAAGCATTAAGTATTGTTTTGAAGTAGTTATTGATGTCACTTTAGTAGTAATCTAACTCACAGAGGCAGACAAAAGAAAAACAGAAATAACCATCAGTGTCACTAACCCCAAAGAAATACAATCCCAAAATGTCTCTGCCATATGAAGTAGAGGGCTGCACGTGTTGGGGAGGTCTCTGTTTGGCCCACTTCTGTTGCAACACCAGAAATGTAACTTTTCAACTATTATATTCGTCTTCTTCTGCCGCTGAAGGTGAGGTCAGCGAGGCGGCGTTGGTGCGGGACATCCTTTATGTCTTCCAGGGAATAGATGGCAAGTTCATCAAG